CTCAGCAAACCAAGCTACAACCTGTAAAAGAGACAAGTCAAGTCAATCCTTTGACCAACTTTCTGTCGAGACTGTTATACTATCATTCATCGTTCTGTCCTGGTCCCTCTATCTGTTTCATTCCCCCTAGTCTCGCCCTTGTCCTATCACAACTTCTGACATGTTTATATTACTCAAGAGATGTGACCTTTTTACGAATTTAACGTGGTGTCATCACACCTGCTGCTTGCCTTGCTCCCATTCGAGTGGCTGATCCTTATCTAGTCTCCTATCCTGGTCTGCCTCATGGGCTTGTGGGTCAGTTTCTTATCTTTCTTGTTGACCGATTTCACTTGGCTCCAGCCCCAGCGTTCTTTTACTCCAATTGCTCTTTCTCGAGCTTTCGGTAGCACGTACAAAGTCGCCTTATCTTCAGAGCGCCTAGGCTTTGATTCCTATGCCTGCGGATATTATGCATTACCCCCACGCATCATCTCCTCGATTAAGCCCGTGTACCCTGAGCAAACTGTGGACATCTGTTTCTGCTAAGCTGCTCCATCTCAAGTGGATTATTAGCCCATTTGGTCACAATGCCCGATTTCTATGATCCAATTCTTCTCCCCAGTCACGCGAAATGTCGGGTCCCCCAAGTTATAGTTGTTTGTTCGAGCTGATTACTCTAATTTAAAACGTCTTCGCTTCATTTTCGAAATCTCCTCACCATCTTCCTTGCGATCCGTTTTCATCTGGTTTACGATAGATCCTTTATCCAGGCGCATTCTTTTTGCTTGTCTTGGTGCATCCCTGTTTTCTCCTAGTCAATAGACAAAGTTATCGCTGACTCTGCCTTTTTTTAGTCTTCTGTCCATTGATTTTTTTCCCCAAGGATGTCAATGGCCTCCCTAATAATCCAAGTTTCTTTGTGTTTTCACTGTATGAGACCCTTCTTTCTCTTGTCTTCTAATTGATCTCGTCTCCAGTCTCTGCGATGTGTTACTCTATATCTGATCTTTCAGTATCCATTTTCCTGCAGAACCTTTGATGCTCCTGGAGACGCAATCGTAAACCAGAATAAAAGGGGTCGCAAGGAAGAAGAGGGTGAGGAGGTTTCGAAAATGAAGCGAAGGTAGAAGTTGTTTGACCTTGTTTTTGGAACTTGGTCATATTGGTGGGAAGAATTAGAGGAACTCACATAGTCAGGAGTCCATTGTATCCATCATCATTTCCAGAGTAGGACCGTGGGCGTGGTACATTTCCAGACGTTTCTCCGGCATCGTAGTCGTCATCGTCAGTGAATCTCGCCATTCGTAGCACCATATTACAACTAGTCAAAGATATAATTGAAGCCTATCCTTTGACCAAACGTGTGCTAAACAGTTGTGGTATTTCCCCTTCTGCTCTGGTCTATACACATTTCCTATATCCTCCTATCA